CAAGAATGTGGCCCCAACCGTCAACGAGGTGCCTGACACGGTGACCAACACGGCCGGCTCGACGGTGAACACGGTGACTAGTACGGTCAAGAATGTGGCCCCAGTCGTCAACAAGGTCACTAGCACGGTGGCCAATACGGCAACCAACACGGCTACGAATGTGGTTACCCCTACAACGAACTTGGTCACAGACTCGGTTACCCAGACGGTGGGCAGTACGACGTTCGTGAAGGCTGGACTTCCGTCTACGCCTGCTAGTCCGCCTGCCACGACTGCGCCGCCCACGACTGCACCTGCCACGAAGGCGCCCACTAAGACCGGCACGAAGACCGGCACTACCACGCCCACATCGCAGCAGACTTCGCCGTCGCAGAAGGAGGAAGAGAAGACCAAGACGACCCCACACATCATCACTCTGACGGCTACGGAGTCGTCTGGCTCCAAGACAGACACCCCCGCCGGCCAGACCGACTCGGACTCTAGCAAATCTAGCTCCAAGAACAAGAAGAGCACGTCTGCCGGCGATGAGTCTGACAGCAGTGACGAGTCTGTGTTTGCCCGTAAATCTTCGTCTTCGTCCTCGTCGGCCGACGTGGCTGACGTGACCAAGAAGCCTTCGACCAAGAAGACCGCAAAGACAAAGACCTCTTCCGACTCCGCTTCGGCCGATGACAGCAACTCTGATTCTGGTTCTGGCTCAAAGGAGGTTGGCGTTCCCGACGACTCTGCTTCTACCGCGGAGGGATCGACGTCCATGTCGGGGTCGATGGAAGGTCCCGACGTGGGCGATGTGTTGACTCCCGAGCCTAAGACGACGCTGCGTCCGGAACCTGTTCCTACGACTGCCGCCCCGGCCCCGGCTGCACCGGCGGCTACGACGGCCCCGCCGGCCTCAGAATCAACGTCTGGAAGTGGCAGTTTGACGAGTCAGGAAGCTCAGGCCAAGCGCGCAGAGGACGTGTCGGGTAAGGGCGGCTCAGGCACATCGCTTATGGTGGGTGTCGTTGGCCTTGCGGGCTGTGCGGCCATTGTCGCTGTCTTTGCGTACGTGAAGAAGCAGAACAACGACACGGAGGCCACAGGTCCTGACGGTGCACGCAGCTCTGCCACCACGGCGGACGGCGCTCGCCCGTCAGAGGACAGCGTGTACAACGACCCGTTGGGCACGCGGTACTCCAGTATCGTCATGATCACGCCCAACGGCGACGGCGTGTGCATCTTGTAGATGGAGTGAGTGGCGCTGCGAATAAGCACCATAGAGGGCGACAGCGCTTTGTGAATTTGAACGACATGTTGATAGCTTTTCCCTCGGAGATTTTGACCTTAAGTAATCGAGAGTTTGGCCGAGTGAGTTTATCAACAACTTTCCCTTTATCTTACTTAGTTTGGCAACACCAAGCGAAGAGTAACGTCTCCGCGGTCTTTACGCATGGTGTCGAGCGGATGGAATGGCGTAAGACCGACTGGGAACGCGAGACGGTTGCAGAACGTGGTTTCGATCTCGTACAGCTCGTTCGTCGGGTCTTCTGCATCGCAGACTAGATACCACGTCACCGCTGTGAGCTTCACACGCAGACCAAAGGCCCACGTCGGTTCTTTTGAGCCAGGTACGGTCTCCAAATACGGCCCGACGTCCATCTGAACTTCAAGCGGGGAAGCACGTGCTGAAGCCGGTCGAAGCAGCACTCGATTCATCTCGTGGTTACTCAGAAACTTAGCCAGAAGTTCGTAGGAACTTCCACCGGACTCCGTTCGGTTGCTCGCATGCAGTACTGCCATTGCGACTGACTGTAAAGCATTGCTCACAGCCATGGGCGTCTGCTCCGGCGTTTTGCCAACTTGACGTGCCAACACCAGCTCCAACTCATGCTGCAGAGCGTCCACGACCGCGTCGTATCCTCTTGTGCCTTCCACTCGCTCCCCATTGATCAGCAACTCATCACGTCCAATATCCTTGGCATCCTGGAAGATCTCAGCTTCTGATAGTGTCGGTATGCGGCTTGTGTTGCCCGGTTCGTCACTGCAGACGGCCAGAATCTGGTTCACGTAGCTCACAGACTCCGTCCCGGTCTCCCCACTCTCAGCATTCTCCTTTAGCCAATTCGTGGATATCACCAGTTGCTTCTCCTTTAAGCCATCGAAGAGCTGCTCAATGACCTCCTGGAACAGCGTCAGGTCCTCATTTTCGATGCTTAAGGCGTGGTGCAGCAGCCCCGTCATCTCCTCGAGTTGTTGGCGCTCTGAGGCCGTTAATATCGTTTCCAGCAGCTTCTTGTGCCCCCATTCCCCGGACAATTGATGTAGCTCCTGTTTAATAGTTTCCAATTGTTCGTGAGTCGTCTGCTCATCGCTCTGCAGTTGGGTGAAGCTGCCACGTGCGGAAACAACGTGCAGCCGTGCGACTAGCGCTAGCGCCTCAAGCGTTCGCATTCGCTCGCCGCCCGCTTGTAGGGCGGTAGGCAGACCGTCAAGCATCGATAAGAGTGTCTCTTCACTGCTTATTGAGGTGTCAGGCGCGCTGAAGGGCGGCGCGTAGGAGGCCGGAAGATTCGACATTTCCTGCTCGAGCTCGGACAGATCGAAACCCCACTCCCCGGCATCGGATGAAGGTGAATCTGACGTGATTGCATGCGCCTGCGCCTTCGCTTCATGGCCTTGCAGAGTAGAATCACCAGGAGGTTGTGGGGACGACACGGCGACGTCGTCTTCCCACTCGTCCCATGCTTCATCGTTCACCGCGGTCATGAGATCGCCAGCAATAATTAATTTATGTTGATTTCGTTTCAAATAAGTTCGTATTTATTGCAAAATTAGACCACAAATATAACAGTATCTGACAATTTTTTTTAGTATGGATAGCAAAACAGCCTCTCAACACAAGTACAATTTCTTAACAGTAGCTGCGCTAACTACCCCAACATGCGTCCTACATGCGACTAATCTACTTTCGCTTCGTTCTCCACCACGGAAATAGTCTTATCCGCTTTCGCCCTGCATCTTCCAGTCGTTAAACCGTTTCTGGCACCACAGCCTTTTCACCTTCCAGACGATGTCGGAGCGAGCCGAACGCCTTTCAGGTCTGCAGAATGGTTCCGTAGGCTCTATCGCTGGCATGGCCGAAGTGATGCTGCAACAACCGACAGTGGCCATCAAGAACGCGGTGCAGCAGGGTCGTCCCATTTCGTGGTCTGTGCCAGCGCTCTACCGTGGCCTGGGCGTCTCGCTAGCCTCCATTGCGCCAATTAGTGCAATCCAGTTCGCAACCAACGGGCGACTGCTTCGTGGCTTGACCGCACCGGACGTGGCACCGTCGGACCAAACCAAGCTGCTGTGTGCCACGCTGTCCGGGCTCGCGTCGACAGGTCTCAGTGGCCCGGCCGAACTAATAATGACACTGCAGCAGAACAACGGCAAGAGCTTCGGCGCAACAGTCAAGGAGG